ATAGAACAAAAGATGGCCTAGTTTATTTGTTACCATCGCTGTCGTATAATCGATTCGATATTCTTGGAAGAAACGGAAAAAACTTAGTGACTGATTTTTTTCGATCAATTACTAGAAGAGAACGAAAAAATTTTGTCCTTCAACTTGATGATATCGAAAACAAACAGAAATCATTATTGATCTTTCTGTTTCAATCAACAAGCGTAATAGGTAGAAAGATGTCACGCCTTTCATCTTGATTGGCAACAGTTATCAAAGCCATTGTTCTAAGAAATGTTAAAAACTATGAATTAGGGAAAAAACATTTCTAAAGATTGGCGACACCGTCTAAATTAATCACTCTGATTGGCAGGGGCACATCAGAGAGTGCAGATGCACATTTCATTTCATAACTTGATATAATGAAGAAAAGAAGCAGAAGACTCGTATTATCTGTTGCAATGGTGCTATGAGTTTTTGTCAAGAGAGTGAGCTCTCTCAGCCTTTGTATGGGATCAACTTTAGCAACAATATTTAAAAATTTCTGGGAAGGGAGGGCCCTTCTCTTTCCTTTAAGTCCTCCTTCTGTAACGCCACGAATGATGACGCACATTTCAAACTAGTGAAACATTTGTCTAAAAGTTGTAGTCTCTATATAAACGTTATCATTAAATTCTTGATTTTCGTATACAAATTCAATTGATAAGATTTGAAGACTGTTTTCTATCATGCTTCTAGTTGACATATAAATTGAACTTAGTATTGAATATTCAATAAACAATTAGATATCACGATGAATCGGGTAATTGAAAATTGATACATATAATTGTGTGTGTATGCAAGTTTGGGATGAGTCAGAGTGACTACGTGTGAAGAGATCAACTACATACATAGTTTCACAAAACATAAACTGTTGCCTGGCCTGTTAGCTTCGTCCAATATTATATGAACGAATCACGCCAAAGCAAAATTTTAAAGTTCAGTCCACTCTGACAGAGGTCTCGGTGATCTGCTAGGTAGAAAGCCAAGATAACGGCTCTTCTTTAGAACGTATTCAAGACTGCACATTATGATATTATAAGTACGGCATGTACTACTTTTTTTCAAGAGTGGAAAGTAGAAAGCCTTTTTTCAATCTCTGTGAATCAATAAAAAATCAAAATATTTCCGAAAACATCCAACATCAAGCTCGTGGTGGCCAGCAAAAAACAAAACATGCAGTAGGGGTGTGGGTGTGACTGCAGCTGTTGACATCTGCTTCACCCACACTGACGTCCATGAATTCATCTAATCATATCGTATCAGAAATTGTTGCTGGCTGGTTCTATTTCCATGTAGTGGGTATCGATCTCACTTCGGATTCAGTTGTCAGTAGGCCACACATAGCATCAGAAAGTGATAAATATCTCTCACTCAAGATGGATTGTCAATTGAATACTCTACATGGTCTTGTTCATATAGCATCTATACGTGATGAGCGGAACATAGTAGCCGATACGATTCGACTTCGTTTGACAATTCTAGTCAATGCTCAAGCTCGAGTCATACTGAAACATTTTTTTCAGAGCTCGGTGCCTTTGACTAATTGAAAGAAACGAATTAATCTGGTCGATTTGTTCAGAATATTCCATTGGAAAATATAGCATGGAAAATGAGCTTGAAAATGGCTTGATGATAGTCCACATTAGTTCTGGTCAGTATCAGTATCATTGAGAATAATGAGTATAAAACTACTACGAAGACCATTGTTTTGATTTTTAACAAAAATCACATTTATTTATTCAAGGTTTTTACAGGCTACACTTGCTATCATCAGGAATCAAAATAAGAAAAAAGAAAAAACTCTATGGCTATATATATTCATTACAAAATAGCAAAACATACAGATTAATTAATAAATGATTATAATTCGCGAATTATGTTTGTAGCACTTTTGTTGTCCGCAAAATTGTCGTTTGACATCGATGATTATTATTCGAAAACGTTGAAGTTAAATGTCACGTCGACCAGTGATTAACCTAATGATTGATGAGTATATAGGCTTTCTTTAAGTATTCTACGAGTCAAGTCGGTTTCAAAGGTTACTATTTCAGCATGATCAAAATCGAAGGAGTGATTGTGTTCTGTCACATATCTTATTGTATTGAATGAATCCAATAAATTTCTTATATCCTTTTTGATGTTCTTTCATTCTTGTGATTTCTCACGATTACTTAATTCAATGTAATATTTGTTACAATTAATACATGAGATTTTATAAGCTAATTTTTGTCTTTTTTTGATTTTATCATCTCCTTTTTGAATCGGTAAAAATATATTCTTTAATGTCAAGGATTTCTTAAAGGCTATGTTTATATTAATAATAAGGCAGATATTTGTGAAAACTGTATGTAATTTTTCGTGTTAGAGTAGTAGATTTAAGTCCATAATATGTGAAAGTGAAAAGTATGTTCTTCTCTATTGAAGAATTCTGTTGTTTGTTCAAACGTTTATTTAATATCTTGTTAAAGTGTGGGTGTGGGTGTGGGTTTTAAAATGTAACTCATACATTTAATTTCGGTCACATGTTTCGGGTTATTTTTATTTAGACACTTTTCAAGTCTGTGAATTGCAATGAAAAAAGTATAGAGTGAAACAAGCAAGTACGACTTGTTTCGAGCTTGTTCAAGGATCACTATCAGGTATTGTAGTCTTTGCAACTATTGAGATGATCTAAAGATCATAGATAAGTTACATACTCTACATTTTGAACACTAATGTCTGGAAATAGTATCATTGAACTAGCAAATATCTGTATTATAGCAGCAAGTCAGGTAAACGAGGAGGCGTTTCTACCTTGCTCTTAAAGGTAAAGTATGTGATTCAATGAAAAACGAATTAACAATATAATATAATAAAGAAACAGAAACAAGACTGAATAAATAACAAAAAATAAATTAAAAAAAGTCAATCTTCTTAAATAGTTCTTTTTTTTTGGTTCGTTTCTTTTGTTTTAAAATCGAATTTTAGCGCTTTTGTAGTTTTCCGAGCTTTTTGAAGAAAAAGCACGAAAGTAGCGAATTTCGTATGAGACAAGAAACAAGAAAACAATCGTAAATAAAGGAAGAAATATTCGAAGGACAAGAAAGAGAAAGTCATTCTTTATCTGTCATTTTCATGGTTCACATTATTATTTTTCATTCTCATACCAAACATGACAACAGCTACGTTGAATATTGAAAATGGATTAGAATTACTTTTAATTTTTGTAATAAATTTCTTGCATATTTCGTAGGTGTACCACGATAGATTTTGACGAAAACAGTGTGTTGTGATTTTGCTCTTCATTCATATTGATTTATTCTTCAAATCATGTTGATTTTTTTTTCTTTTTTCATTAGATTAACTTACATAAAATAACAAACGTGACTTCATTTGACGAATATGTCACTGTTGTCGATTGTAATAATAAAGTTAGTTACTTTTAGTCGAGTTCTCCAATCCTAAATATGATCAGACTGTGAGAGAAAATACAGCTGAAATAATTGCTATGGTTTCAGATGATGAAATCAAAATCAAGAACAATATTTGTCGAGTCGTACTGTCGAGAACCAATGATTATCTCGATGATAGTCATGGAGAACTTGCTTCATCGGTGGTGATTGGCTTTCGTGGTTTCAACGCTGTTTATCGAGTAACCAATTCATTTGGTCTTGGTGAGTCTATTTTCGATATAATAATTTATAGACCAAGAAAGAAATAAGCCTGGTGATTTTGAAATAAATTTACTAGAAATATTTCCTGATATAATTTTATCGATTTGTGGCCCTCTACACTTGAATGTAAGAGTCCTTACAAGAGTATGTAGTAATCCTATTTGTCTTCAAAAAAAAGCGTGGACTAGTAAAATGATAAAATAATACTCGAATGTTTTAGGATGCTCTTCGATATCGTTCAAAAGTGGAGAAGGTTAACGATCACGAAGAAACGTATTCTGGCCAGGGCAAGGTGTATTTGTTTTTTATGGAATTCATTTTATCTTTTTTTATTATTGTTTTTCAAAAATAGAATATTGAATAAAATTTTGAGTGTATGTTCCTGATTTGATCAAAAAATAATTGTTTTCTATGAGCTGGTTATTTCTTTCATTTTGTTCTTTTAGTTCAGATATGTCCATACTAAGATCATGGTACCATGAAAATCATGCTCTTTCAACTGTTTAGAGTGTGAGTATGGGTTTGTTTGAAATCACGAAGATGGTTAACACCCACACTTCATCCTAACTTAAAAAGTAAAGCTACTAAAAATCATTCTACTCAATTTAAAATAATCAGCTGACAATAACGTGAACATCGTTGAACCAGTTGTTCATGAGACTCACTTTCGATAATATGTTCTTTATCATTAACATAACTTTGATAATATGAACGAATTATAGAAAGTCAATAAGCTCTTATGATTGTTGATTGTAGAGGATTGCCTCTTTGAATATATTCAAGGGTTCGTTGTACAATCTAATAAACAGAAAGCTTACATATTTATAAATCCAAAATATTTAATATACTTATTTGTTATATGAATCTAAATCACTTGGTGCTTCCGCATATATCAACAGATTGAGTGTTCGAATTATTGCATGAGCAATAGCAATACATTGTCTTTCACCCTCTAGTAATTGATTTCCTTTTATACCAATATATGTTTGACAATCTTTGTATAATCAAACACAAATATAAACAATAACAATGAATCATAAATTTGCTCGTGGTAGTTGCTGAATACAATTGTGTTTATTCGCTTTCTATGCAGTATTGATAAATCCATCTAATGTAAAATTCTGTGACCCATATTGAATATTTTAGGCTATTGTCACACTAGATAAAATTAGTTGTTAATCTACAAGATCAGTGTGAGAACGGGTGTGAGTTTCAGTGTAGGTGAAGTAGATATGGGTGTACTCGCAAGTGTAGGTCTTCTTATCAACAACACTCATACCTCACTTCCACAATCGCATCCACACCCAAAATTTCTCTGCTGTGAGTTTATTTGGGAAATTCCACACACAAATTATCAAAAGCAAGTTGTGTTCCTCGTCCATTCACTTGTGAATTCGTTTCTCCTCCATAAGACGAGAAATTGACAATTTCCAAATCTGACCAATTGAGTTCTATCCATTGTGGTTGCAATTGCAGTATAAATTGTTTGGATTTGAACACACTTCCGCCTCGTTTACCCGTTATTTCTAATGTGAGATTATCATTCCATACTGATGCTACTATCATTGATTTCAGAGTAAAACTTCTAGCTGCATTTATAATCATCGACAACATTTGGCCATCCTTATTCAACCCGACATATTGACCACTCGATAGAGCAGCGGAATAGCCTGACCAACCATTAATTTGTTCGTTGTAAGAAACATTCATATAGTTCGCATTCACCCATTGAAAACCAGAGAACCCATTGGGCAAGGATTGTTGGAAACGACCAGCACCAGGAATATTATCAAATGTGATTAATCTAGGACACTCTTCAATAACAAACATTAAGATAATGGAAAATTAAAATAATCTTACTAGTTAACGGAACAGTAGTGAAAGTGGTAGTCATAGTTGCGGTAGTGATTGTGCTCGTGAACGGCAACAATGTTGTTGACACGTCAGCTAGTGAAAGCATTAAGAATTCCAAAAAGATTCGAAGTAAATGAAAAATATGATTAGTATAACCGTATTTCAAAAAGCAGGACATCTGAAAACTGTCTGTATTCGATTCAACCTTTATTGATTAAAGTCGAACAAAATTTGGTCATCTTAGTCGTATCAAATAAGACTTTAACCTGTAGAATCCGTTTAATTCTTCCTTTCCTAGACATAATGAGGAGCAAAACAAATAATCTATTTTTTTATCGTTGTATCCGTACCTGGTTTCCGTGTTTCTTCTTTTAAGGACAGAAAGTCAGTTAAATAATGTGAAAAGACACAAACAGTTATGTGTCCGTGGTGCTTTGAAATCTTTTCTACACATCGAAATTAGGACAAAAAGCAATTATGTAGAATTCTGATTCGAGAATGAATCATATGAAAAATTGTTCACTAGACTTTCGATCCTCTGAACTTAAAACAATCCGATTAAAATAATTGTTTATTCTAAAAAAAGAACTCCGATATAAGTTCACATGCTTAGTTGAAAACAGATACAGAAAGTACAAAGAGGAAACAGCTGGTTCACAACAACGGAAGCACCTGGAATTGTTGGAATCACTTAAAGTCATCAAAATCAGTGGGACTCATTGAAATCATTCGGAATCACTGAGAATCATTGTGAAATCACTTGGATTCATTTTTTATTTCGTCTTTTTTTCTACATTTTGGTGGTCGAAATTAGACATGGCACTTTTATAATTGCACTTTAAGAGTTAAACTAGGTACGTTGAAGGCATTATTCGTAATACATATAATGGGTTAAAGCTCTTAACCAAGTAGAATTCACTAGGATTTTTTTCTACTACAATATGGATTCGCCATGACCATCTCTTAATCAATCAGTGCTCAGCATGCTCTATTGGGATCTGATTGAATTATAGAGATCCAATCAGACTTCGGTAGGACTTTTTTCGCCTATAATCAAAGCTAGTCGTGGCCGTCGCTTAACCAATTAATTCTTAGCATAGTTTTCTCTTATATTGCACAGATAGAGTGAGGTTGAATTTTGATTGAAAAGATAAAAATCTTTACTAGATTATGATTGGATCACCGTCTTCAGCAATTGGGTGTACTATGGACAGCATCCTTAGCATATCCACTTTAAATTTGGCCTTTTTCAAGTTAAAGTGGAAGTGCAACATCTACTGAGTGGTGTCTATGAAATCTATGGAGGCAGTGAAATCATGGAGCCATGTAATCAGCTGTTTCCTTCTTGAGAAAATGTATCTTTCAAAATATAGCCCTACTGGGAGCTTTTACGTTTTCTTTTGCATTTGTGTTGTTCTTCTGACCATAATAATGGCTGCCGACAACGTTGGTTGTGGTTTGACATGACAAAAACATGCACACTCATACCCACACCCTAAAAAATGATACGTTCTACAGAATCGAATCGAATGATCAATCGTTCAATTTGTTTCGACCTCTGATGTACTTTCAAAAGTTCACTGTGTCTCCATGTTGTGATACATATAAATGCAACAGAATCTGGATTTTAAAGTACTGAATATGATCCATGCGAAGAGATGAAACCTTTTATCTAATGATTACAATTCATTTTGTCTATATCAGGCTTTACCTATGTTTCAGAGACATTTCGGCTCTTTCCCGCTGCTCGTAGACCAGCACGGATTACAGATGTAGGGAAAGGGTAGATCATGAAGAAATAATTTGAAGAAAGATTCGAATTTCACTTGAATCTGTAGATCACTGTTTGTTCTCTTACTTGCTATCGGTGGACAGAGTTGTTGATTGAAACTCGGCACCGGATAACAAACAGGAACGTTCCGACATCTAGGATGATGTACACATCTGTGGTTAGGTTCATCACAAGAGTTGTTTGAGCGTTCACATGGAGCTAGCTCAGAGCAATCTACGAATTCATCGCCGCAAATGCCAATGTTAACAGCATCTACTAGATGGAAACATGCACACGCACTATTTGGTGAACATCGAGCATATTGAGACATCCCATGACAGAATTGAGATTTCACTCGAACTAGCAACATACAAAATAATAGTAAAGCATGTAAAACAAAACAAGAACCAAACCTGTAAGGCTTAAAAGAAAGATTGTTCAAAGTAAGATAAGTAAGATAAGTAAAAAAAAAAAGTTTTAGGTTTACCTAAATAGAACTATTAAGAAACAATGAATTATTGTTGAAACCATCATTTGTATGGATACGAGAATGAATGGCGACAGTATCTGTCTTTATATCTAATGCAGAGGTAATTTTTTTTCGCATTTGTCGAAATGATGAAGCGCATGGTGTGATCCTTTCATAAATGGAAATTCGATATTGCTCCAGCGCTTACCTAAGCACTTAATTCTTCTTCAAAGAAACAATCTTTACAAAAAAAAAAGCGTTATTAAAGTAATACGGGATTCCTTTTGCGATACAAGCTTTTAATAGGGCTACAGAAATTTGTAGTTTGATCAAACCAAAGTAACAATCTATAGCGCAACATTCATTTGTACTTTGAACTGTGTCTTCGTTACATCTCAAGGGTTTATTTGTTACGTTTTCATTTTCAAATCTCTTTTTTGACCTTACATGTCAGGTTTAAGAAAAGATCGCTGAAAATAGTGGCATGGCTACGAGTGCGGCAAAGACATGGGTTGTTTGCGAGCAAACGCACTATTTCAAAGGTGCAGTAGGTTTCTGCTCCCTCTGCCGAAACGTTGTCTGGCACCTTGCTCCTGTCCGTAAAGAATTTTCAGTCATAACACTATTTCAGAACAATCTTTTCAACAAAATACTCATTCTGTTCGTGTGAAAAAAATGGAAAAAGTCCACTCTAAAGTACTTTCAGTATTAATAAAGTAAAAATAGTAACTAATCTTACTCATTTTCACTTTTTCCAGTTAATTATAGAATTTTTTCAACTTTTCGAAATAATTTATATTGGTATTTTATCATCCAT